TTCGCTCTCTGAATTATGTGCCTGGGGCTGATTCGATGCTCAATCAATCACTACCCATGCAACCAGCGCAGCAGAGATTCTACGTACAGAATGCGGCATATGTGCCTACTGTCTTACCGGCAACGCTCCAGCCTTGTCTCGGCCCGACAGCGTCGGCTGGTAGCGGCCCGTATGGCCCCTACTGGCCCGACGGCGTCTACATTCCGTACCGTCCAGCAGCCTTTCGAGATACGCGCTTCAACCATTTGAATCAGACCGGTCTCCCCTTTTTCGATGCAGCACAGCAGTCATTCAATAACGCAAATATAGCCCTCCCAGGCACCCATGGTGAGGCGGGAGGTTGGAACACCGCACCTCCGGGGATTCCCAGCCACGATACTGCAGTGAAAGGCAACTTCCCTCCCCGTCATTCTGGACAGAAATCTTTGGATTCTTTCCTGAACCACCGCGTTCTCCCGTTGCACATTCGTACTAATCCTAGCACTGGGTTTTCAACAAATCAGCAAGGCGGAGAATCCTTCTCCGTGCTGCCTGGGGCCAACGGGCCGGGCTTGCCCAGCTCTTTCACAACTGCCCACTCACGCGCTGCAAATGTCGAATTCAAGGAGAAGATACTATCATGGGCCCACGGTGTATATGTTGATCTCCTCGCGTCCATCCATCAAGCCCGTCGAAACAGCATCTCCCAGGCCGGCAGTGATGGGCAGTCCCTGCGCTTGAAACCAAGCATATATCCCAAACCTCCACGACAGCCAGGCTTGGATTTCTCTCAGTCGAATAGCCCCGAATTCCATCGCCATAACAGCTACCCCTCAAGCCAATATGATGGGCGCCATCAGAAGACTAATAATGTTGGGTATTCAAGGCCAGTGGATACCACGGCTACTTTCCAGCATAATCGCCGTCCTTCTATGACTCAATTCCAACAGTACGCAACGTCAGATTCACAAATGCTGGACAGATTGCGGCATACTGGCAGAGTTGCAGTTCCAGGACCAGCTCCCCGTTTCTCCTTTTCTGCAACAGGTGAAAATTCCACCACAGCAAATGCCATCTCTGCTCTTGAAATGCTCTCAAATCTCTGCATGGAGAGTGGTTGGGAGTGGATTGATGGGATGCTGCTTGGCGGCTGCCTTGCCTATGGACTTGGGGACTATCACAAAGCCATGAGGTGGTACTCTAGGATTATCGCGAAGGACGCAACGTAAGTACAAGTTGTCCAGATTATCGTGTATATGTGCTGACTGCATTTAGGCATGTGGAGGCGATCTCAAATCTCGCAGCGACGCTGCTTGCGCTTGATCGTCGCGAGGAGGCGCTACAACATTGGCTTCGTGCTGTGAAGCTCCGTCCCAGCTTCTTCGAGGCTGTGGAGCATCTCATCGGTCTCCTTTGTAGCAGTCATCGTGGTAAAGAAGCCGTGAATATCATCGATTATGTGCAGAATTCCCTGCGCTTTCCCAAAAATGGTGATTGTTTTACCACGGATGAACATGCAAGCGAAACGGAGAGTGATGCGGATAGCGGAACTTCAAGTGTTGGATCTTATGAGAAGGCATCGTTCGACTACGACGATGATTTCGACCGGTCGCTGATCGGTAACCGAAAGCCATCTGAAGCTAGCGCGGTTGGCTTTGGCTCCAGCGGCTACGCTATACCAGGTTGTGACAATGGGAGGATGCTTGCGCTCGTTCATGCAAAGGGCAACATGCTCTACGCATTGGGCGATAATGCTGGTGCTGCGGCGGCCTTCGAGGATGCTGTCTTGGTTGCGGCAGGGAGACGACGCCATGGCATTCAAAGTCTGATTAAACAGATATATGCCGCCTTCTCCCAGGGTTCTCATCAGGCTTACTCGCCCTTGAACTCTCACGAGACCCAGGAGACTATTCTTCTTTATCCTGATAAGGCCTTGCAGACTTCGAAGCTGGTCTTTGCACCGTGCGGAACTCCCCCTGGGATCAAGTTTGTGGCCGAAGGCCTTGCAAGAAAAGCCGCCTTGTCGACCACGAGCAACTCACTGCTTTCCTTGGCAAAGATCTATCAAGACGGCATGTCCAATATTTCCGGTTCGGGCATTCCCAAGAAATCTCCTGGCGTTCGAGACATCTTGGCACTCTATTACCTCTCCCTGTCCCTGCAGCCAAGTCCCTCAACTGCCAATAATGTTGGGATCTTGCTTGCTGGAATTCAAAACAATGCCGCCGGCAAGGGCCTCCCTCGTTCTAGCGGGGAAGCACAACACCCTGAGGTTCCTGGAGTGGTTCCTGGAAGTGGGATTTCACTGGCGCTAGCCTATTACAACTACGGATTACACCTCGATTCGCGGCACGCGCATCTTTATACCAATCTGGGTAGCCTGCTTAAAGACATCGGGCAGCTCCAGGCCGCCATCCGAATGTACGAGCAAGCGGTTCATTGTGATGGTAACTTTGACATTGCCTTGGCCAATCTGGCAAATGCCGTCAAAGATGCAGGTCGAGTCAACGATGCGATTGCCTTCTACAAGCGTGCCGTCAAAGTGAACCCTGAATTCGCTGAAGCGGTATGCGGACTGGCGAATGCCTTGAACTCGGTCTGCAACTGGGTCGGACGTGGAGGCATCGCCAATGGGTATGGTTTCCGCGACCGATGGCATGTCACTGAGCAAGGGATGCTCCGTGATGCATCTACTAGCGAGACCGGTACTGGCTGGATACAGCGCGTCGTTGATATCGTCAATCGACAGCTCAAGGAGGGGGAGTCGTGGGGTCGTGGTCTACTAACACCTACCACGATAGAGCAACTCTGCGTCCAGATCGCTCCGGCCTTGGAGAATCGCCACTCGGCCTCTGGGTCTTTGGCCACCATACTGCAGTCTTGGGCTGGGCAAAAGTGGGAGGGCTCGCGGATCGTCAAATTGATCGAGCGTGCAAATCGTTCGATCACCTGGCAGTGGTACCAGGACCGCTATATCTACGGCAAAGAATACCCGCTAACCAAATATCAACGGCCGCAACTTCCACCGGCGCTCGCAGCGCCCAATGCGCCAACGGTTCTCCCCTTTCACACATTCACCTGTCCGCTTTCTGCGAAGCAGATCCGTCAGATCTCTCAAAGGAATGGCCTTCGAATCTCGTGCTCGACCCTACGTTCTCCGTGGCTTCCAGCTACGGTGTATCCACCGCCGCCACCTCCAAATCCCTATCTGAAGGTTGGTTATGTGTCGTCGGACTTTAATAATCACCCTCTCGCGCATTTGATGCAGTCTGTCTTTGGATTGCACAACCCGTCCAGGGTTAAGGCATACTGCTACGCAACCACTGCAAGCGACAAATCCGTGCATCGTCAGCAGATCGAGAAAGAAGCACCCGTGTTCCACGACGCCAGCTGTTGGCCCGTCGAGAGACTTGTGAAGCAGATCGTTGACGATGGGATTCACATCCTTGTCAATCTCAACGGCTACACTCGGGGAGCGCGCAACGAGGTGTTTGCTGCACGACCTGCCCCAATACATATGTCTTTCATGGGGTTTGCAGGGACATTAGGCGCTGAGTGGTGCGATTATATTCTTGCGGATGAGATCTCCATTCCTGTCGATACGCTTGGCCCTGGAAGACGTAACGCCCGCATTGAGGATAGACTTTTGGAGCAGAACTACGGCGAGGAGCTCGAGGACTGGGTGTATGGAGAGAAAATTGCCTATACTCGCGATACATTCTTCTGCTGCGACCATCGGCAAAGCGCTCCCGACGCGAAAGACGACGCGCGCATCACCTGGGAACAGGAGCAGGAGCGGCGGTGGCGAATGCGGAAAGAGCTGTTCCCAAATCTCAGCGATGACACGATCATCCTTGGCAATTTCAACCAACTGTACAAGGTGAGTATTGTCTTTATGATCGATTATTTGTGATGTGAGTGTGCAGTGTGCTGAGCCCTTTCATACAGATTGAGCCAACAACGTTCCGTACATGGCTTCGTATACTGGCGCGCATTCCCAACGCCGTTCTCTGGCTGCTTCGCTTCCCGGACCTGGGTGAACAAAACCTCCGGGAGACGGCCATAGCGTGGGCTGGGCGGGAGACAGCATCCCGGATCATTTTTACGGATGTGGCTCCGAAGAACGCTCACATCGCTCGGGCGAAGATCCTGGACCTGTTCCTAGATACGCCGGAGTGTAATGCGCACACGACTGCGACAGACGTGCTATGGAGTGGCACACCACTGCTCACATATCCCCGCTACAAGTACAAAATGTGTTCTCGGATGGCGAGCAGCATCCTGAGCAGCGCGCTGCCGGACTCTGACGGTGGCCGCAAGGCCCGTAATGAGTTGACGGCAGTCTCCGACGAAGACTACGAGGACAAGGCCATCCGCCTTTGTCTCAGTCTCCAGTACACACCCGGGTGTGGTGGCCGAGCGCGAGGCCGGCTATTCGATCTCCGCCGGATGCTGTTTGAGGAGAGAATGGGGAGCCGTCTTTTTGATACCAACCGCTGGGTTCGTGATTTAGAGAATGCTTATGATCAAGTCTGGAAACGATGGGTAAATGGCGAAGAAGGTGATATCTGGTTATGATGTACGCATCGGAATATACCCCTTGAGCGTTCTGTTTCTGTCTTTTCTTGTTAATTCCATGTCACATGTATCCCTATGCGCGTTTATATTGGTGATTTCCCTGATCTATGAGGTGTGGGACCTGGATATTCTGGTCACCTCGGATCTAGTGTGTTTCTGTCTTGATTTTGCATGGGAATGTCCGGTGATCCGTGATGTGCATACTGGCGTTGGATCTTTTGATCTTTTCCAGCAATGAATCTCCATGAAACTGCTGCGCAAGCAGCTCGGGTTGGCCATATCAGCTTTTCAGAACTACCCCTGCAGGATACGTATTCGACTATGAAATACAGCTTTCCTTACTGCAAATATGTACAAACGGATGACTTTGGGCCTCATGCATTCCCAGCACCACATCGTTTGCTGGAAACTAGCCAGCCCAGTGAAGTCGCCGAGAGACATCCTCAAATCGCATCAACCGCTGCAACAACCTCAAAGCACATAACTGTCTCCGTAAGCGCAACTGCTGCTGAATACAGACGATCCGCTCCCGCTGGACAGCGCAACCTTCCATCCGACCTCTGAGGGCTGACAGGAAGGTGTAAGATTTCCGCGGACATTGTCTTCAGCTTGAGGTTGGTATACCGGTCTACTAAGGTATGTAACTGCGCGGCAGCTTGCGCGGAACACCCTGCTCTCGTGGACTCAGTGTACGTGTCCGGTGCGCTCGACGAGGTCCGGCTGCGTATTGCTAAAAGCGGAGCAGAAAGTCCCCGTTCGCGTTCACTTTCCGTCTGCGCCGCCGAGGGAGCGCTGTTCCGGCGCGGCAGTGGCGTAGGTGATAGTCTTCCAGGGCGTTGAGGTTTGGGAAGTGACGTTCCTCGATTGTCCTGGGTGCGGATCTGCTCGCGGGTATTCAGTCACTCTTCACAAGCAATACAGTGTCATGTTCGATCTCCTTCCTTTGCGCCTCATGAGCCACCGCCTCGTCCTTGGCTCGTTCACGCTGGTGTTGCTGGGCCTCTGGTAAGCTCATAAGCCACGGGCCAGTCTCCGCAATGATCTGATCCGCCAGTTCTTGAGGAAGTGGATGGGCTGACGATAGATGGGATCGTGCTTCCTGTTCCCACCAATCAAGACGCTGCGGGGGCACATTTCGCGTCGAACAGATGCGGTAGTAAGGATCAACGAGCCACAAGGTCAAAAAGCGGCAGTGTCCAGATCGAGCCTTGTCAATCAATTCGAATGTGTTCAAGGCGGTGGTGGCGTAGGCAGTTTGGGAAAGTGATCAGACCACCTTGACATAGAGACACTGACCCAAGTTCTTGGACACCCGGTTCATCGTCCTTAACACCGAACAATTCTTCCAGGTACGGAATGTCCCAACCTTCATTGACCGCGAAATCGTCGGTGCATGGAAATCGCCTGAACGAACGAGATGTGGATATTTGTCACGTTCTCAAGATCGAAGCAATAGATGGCTACCCCCGCGATATACTCGTTCAGCAGACCGTCTGCGTGCCAGTCCTCGCCCAAGAAGGATGGATTATTGGGAGTGAGCTTGATGCCCCACAGCTTAACAATAATCTGCAGCCCCTTTTCGCGAAACTTGTGCTGGAGTTTCACAGTCTGGAACTGATGATCGACCTCGTCTCTTGCTCTGAGCATCTCATTATAGAGCATGGGATCCATGATTCCGCGGCGGTTCCACCAGAGTTTCATGGATTGATCAACATTGTTGCGATCCTCACGACTGATGATTGCTTGGGCCGTTCGTCCTGCCTTCCAGTCTTCGTAGGAATAGGTGGTGCCAGGCTCGGAGTGCTGGAACTGAAATATGTGACTGTATTTAATATTCACAACTTCGCGCAAGGATAACGTTGCCTCCCAGTCTGCGGGGATTTCGCGTGTTATATTATAGGACTATTGCACCTTTACTCCATACTCTGGTAAAGAGAGGTACTCCTTGACGCGAGTGAGCGCCCGCTGGTAATCTTCAGTTGACCTATTGACGTCCAGCATGGTCGGAAGATCCTCAGCCCATTGAGGATAACGGTTATCCCACTCGACCCCGAATGTGCGGATACGCATGGGTTCCTGACCGGCTTTGTTAGGCAGGACCCCATCGGGCCACTCTAATGAAAGTCTAACCAGAACCTCATTCCATGGCTTAATGGCTTTGGCCATCACATTTTCCAGCGTCCTGTAGAAAGGACGCTGCTCATGGGGATGAAGATTGTTGATGTAGGAAGTAATCCGCATGTCTGTTGATCCAGCCGGCCCACAGAATTCAACCTCGCAAGGCAGCCATTGATAGCGGAGTGAGTAGAGGTATTTTCCTCTTTCCCATTCCCTTTTCGCATCTGGAGAGGCGGTGCTACCTCTCCTTGCCTGTAAGTGTCCAGAGTCTGCTTAAGTGGAATACTGCCGCCACTGATCAGCACTCTTGTGCGTTCGCGAGTCAGGGGGTATAATGAGGGGTTAATCAGGTTCCAAACCTGCGGGTTTGAACTCGGCTCCCAGTCCTTCTGCCCGGCAGACTCGTTTAATGCAGAAGCCACGAACACCTGGATCTCCGCGCTCACTGCAGGAGGAATGATGGTGTCTGATTTACACACGCCACTGCCAGTGTTTAGAACCTTGATTAGACCAGTCTCCTGCCATCACTGCGCTTTGTCACGCAGCTCAGCCATACACCATTCCCATGCCTTGGGGCTGATCAATGGAAATTGCGCCATGGCCTCGCTTCGCCAAGTCTGCATGGTCGAAGCATCAAAGACCAGCTCATCCCAGCCCGGTCGATCAGTCAAGGAGTTGATCAGCCTCAGCATTTCCAGTTCGCGGGCGGTGAAAGGCGACGGATACCAGCAATCAGAGCCTACAAACATTCTTTCTGATAATGCTATGACATCAAAGGGAACTCCATTGAATCCTGGCACCATCAAGGGCCCATCGCCTGTATTGTTGAACTCGACCTCGTCACTCATCATGCAGATCGCTTCGCTGAAAGCAGTTGAGAGGGGAGATCTGCGAGGGGCGACTCGACAAAAATCTATCAGAGATGTAAGGCGCGAGGGTTGATAGGGGCGTACAAAGACACCTAGGTAGGGATTTTATTTCTCTTCGGGTGGAACCCGACGAGGCGAGGTGAGCAATGGGTGGATGGCTGTAACCATCTGTAATTACATTTCGCTCATCCACAAATTGAAATCGTAGTCGCAGGACAGATGGAGATTATCCCTCGGATCTGAGATGCTAGTTCTTCCATCGGTGTTTTCTTCAAATTATTAATTTGTGATGGTAGCAGTATTTGATGAGCTGTTGGTTGGATGGAAAGAGAGGAGAAAGAAGTTGACCAGAAGAAAAACCACGCCTTGGCACGTGAAATGAGCACAGCATTTATGTAGTAGTACTTTAGCCAATCCATAAAGTCTTATATTTTGTCTGATCGTACGTTGATGCATCCTACCTCGACTATCTCGAACAGGCTGGAGGAAAGGTGTATATGATGCCAGTCTCCCCATGGTTCTATACAAATCTTCCAGGTTATGAAAAGAATTGGTTATGGTGAGGTAATGTCTACCAGGAAAATAAAAGAGATAGAAGGATGAGCGGTGATGCTAACCAATAAATCTAGGAGATGACCTCTGGCGAGACCGCTGGGAAGAAGTTATGGTGGTGCAACCCGATTTCGTCCAGATCATCAGCTGGAAAGACTATGGGGAATCCCATTACATCGGGCCCCTGTACGACATTGATTCTGTCCTACTCGGACGACGACGACAACCCCGACTGTGAGGAAGACACCTCGAACCCCTGCGATCTCAGCCTTTACTTTTCGTCGTGGGAAGCTCTCCAGGCAGCCAAAGACATTCCCGAGCTCTGCATGCCCATGTACGCCATGCAGGTTCTGATGGACACTCTCAACACTGCCCTGCAGAACTACACGGACGTTAACAACGGCTACGACGAAAAGTTCGGCTACTATGTTAAATATCTTCGCGACATGGTGCCGGAGTCAATCAATGCGGTTATCAAAGATAACGGTAAATACGTCCAATGCTCTCAGGTGATCAAGGGCGGATGGTCTGAGCCCAGATCATGCTTTATCCCGATCGTTAGCGACGCATGGACCGTCAAGTACACCTTCGTTGATGAGCAAGGATTCTACGACGAATTGCAATCCAAATATGGCATCCAGCGGGACTGGGTCGAGGTTTCGGACGTCGTCAATGAAGACAAACTCTGCACCCCAAACCCCCGGAGCGGCGGTATAGTCTGCCATAATATCAAACAGACAAACCAAAATATCCCCCACGCCAAGGCCGACTTCACTATCCCCAACCCCAAGGACTCAATCGCTGATGCGCTGCCCCGGTTTCAAGCTCTCCAGCGCGACGTTGTCTTGACATGGGCCGATCTTTCCTTCTTCCTCTGGGACGGGGACGGTGCAGACGCAGTGGAGGCTCTGTCCACTCCCGTCTTCATGCTCCTCCAAGCGGTCGAAAGCATGGCAACGGTGAAGGCGATCGGCGAAAAGGAGAAAGAAAAAGAGGACGAAGAGAAAAAGAATCTCATCATCACCATCATCTCTGCGGTCCTGCTCATTTTCCCCTTTGCGGGCGAGATTGTTGGCAGCGTCGCGGGGGTAGCCTGGATCACAGATGCGGCCCTGTTGGCGGATGTGACTGCCAATTTGGCTCTGGCGGGCTACGACATCGTGACCAACCCAAAGTCAGCGCCGATGGATTTATTGAACATCTTGTTCTCAGGGACAGGGCGCACCGGGGCGAATTTAGCCAAGGTAGCGAGTGTTCGGCGCGGGATCAAGGCGGACGATCTGGCCAAGTTTGGGAGCGTGTTTAAAGAGAACGATGACCTGCTTCAGGGTCTGATTAGAGTCTGTAAGACATGATCGGTTGCTTAGATGTCCTGCCATTGATATAAACACCTTGGCAGTGGGACACCTACAGCATAAGGATGCTTTCGGCCGACGAATATTGATCAGAAAAACATACAATGAATATCTTGAGGACATACTTCGATTTCAAGTTGATGTAGACAAGTGTGCCATGTATCTTGCCATCCCAAAATCACTGCAAGCCATACATATACCCCATGAAGTCCAGGCAGTCCAACATCGACTGCAGACCTCATGCCACACAAGGCCAGAGAAGGGCACATATGAACTACGTCAACTTCTCGGGTGCGGAACTAACGAGTCACGCTGTTCAATCATCCAGCAGCTAGCTTCCTGGGCTTGATGGAGGGCCACGCAGCAGCCGATTTTTTTAAGGTGCTGGCAGCCACAGTATAGTAGTCACTGCAGCAGTATGCAGATCCGATACTCCGCACAGGTGTAGTAGAGTTCATTTTCGAGCATGTCCCGTGTCGACTACTCAATCTCGTAAAGAGCTTGCAGTTTCTCTGTCGGTTGAATTCAGCAGACGAGCTCAGTGTCGACACGAGGATCCTGTCTACCGGGTATCATCCAGCACGAGCCTACAAAGATCATTCAGAATCATTCTTCGTCATTCCAGTTCCATGTATAAACTTGGCAGAGGTGCAGTGCACTCTCATCACCGTACCTTGAGCATGATGTATGCCAAAACAGGGAATATTTGTAATTGGAGCAGTTGCTAACCTCCGACAGCTTTCCATCAGCAAGCCCCGGTAATTCCTGGTGAAAGACGGTAGATATGCAACTGTTATCCTGTCTGTAGCCAAGTCAGCAGAGGATAAGCACAAGCTGCATTCATCTGGAGTCCAAACTCAGGGGTAAACATACATTGGTCTCGTAACCACCCCTATTGTCAGATACCCACAAATCGACAATCATCAAGAATACTTCATCTGAACTTGCCGGAGATCTCGTAGACCCGCTTGTCGACGTCGTAATACCATCCTGCAAGTCATGTTCAACACCCTGCTCATCTTCCCAAGCAAATAGAAAATGTCACTTCAAGTTCGCCAAGCATTGTGTACACTACAGCGTCAAGCCATAGCAATTTCGATTTCGGCAACACCGATCCAGCCGCAATGCTTTCGCTCGATTTCTGATTGCATCTAGCAGAACCGTTGTAACAACGGCTGGTGCACTGTTGTTGTCAGCTTCGCCTGATACACACACGAGTCTTACACCATACCATTCTGTATTTACCTGTAATGCCATACAAGTCAAGCTTCTCAATACCAATCCCTTGAGTACGGAGTACCCCTACCCTATCCTGAAAAAGAAGGTAGGTACCCAATGTATCTATGTACCTTAGGTACCTATTTGCAGTAGAACACAGTAACCGCTCCCCGTAACAATAATACCAGGGCCCTCCCAGAATTCCAACGGCTGGTATGTGACAGCCCCACGTGGCAAGCGCCAGCGCCCTGAACAGACTGGAACGCCTCAGGCATGAGTGGTTTGTGCTTTGACCTCGGCCAGGGCCGGGATTGAATGGCTGATCTGGACGGTGATTAGCCCGCGCGGGGGGGCCACTATCGATCTGCGAATGTAAATCCCGGCGGGCTGGCTGCATCTCTGACAAATACTTGGAATGCATGGCATGGTGGGAGCTGAGGTCTCGCTGGATATATCCCAATGTAGAAACTCGCTTGTCTGCCAAGAGGGGAGTGCATGGTGATTGATTGACTGGCTGGGCAGGGCAGGGGGTTGGTGACTGACTCGGTGGTACTTGCAGAGTGCTGTGTGGAGCTGAATACTGAATAGCAGTGATGAGAGCTAAAAGTATTCATAAGCAATGCAATAGACGGTATGCTTATTATCATTCAAGGGATTCAATCAGGCTTGTTGTATAGGTGAGAGACATCCATGGTAATACTGCGTACTTTGTATTATTACTGTTAAGGGTAAGGTAATAATACTGTATAAATACTGATCAAGGAGAGTCGATCCACAGCGGGTACTCTAACCCCATCAAGAAAGTGGATTACTCTGAGATGATTTCTTCCAGTCAAATATTTGTATTGCGTGATCGACCTTCAAGACCCAACAATTACAATTAATAATATTACAGCTGTTCATACCTTAGACAGTGCCTAGGTAGTAAGGCATCTGAATGCATCATATGCAAAGCAGGAACATGCATAACACTTGGCCCAGATCATTGTCAATCGTTCCGGCTTCCGCATATTAAGCCCAATAAATAGACTCTGACAAAAGCACAAATGAAAAGCTAAGGAATCATGTTCTTGTTTACTCCTAGGATTCAATAAAATAACTTTTATGGTTTGCTTGATCGGAATGAGACATATGCATGGGTCTCGTATAAGCATCGTTAGCCGATCCTGCCTGGCTGCCACAGTACAGTATGTCAGAGGATCACTCAAGCACTATCATAGGAACTTTCATAAACTATACTTCAAAACACATGAATTTTTCTGTAAGAGTAAGACAACGATACTACAGAGTACGGATACAGTTTCATATCGACCCAAGATTACTAAACCGCCCCACCGCCCGCATGACCGATCAAGCACACTATCAAGGTCAAGCCAGAGGCAACCATGGGCCTCATCGCCCGGCCGTTTCATCTAAACCGGCCAACCAACGGTTTTCTTGACTCTGTCTGCTCTGGCTCTGGGTCCTCCAAAGGAAAGCGGGGACCACTGGAGGACCCCGGCGCTCGGTTCAGGAACGGTTCCAAGTTAGAAAATGGGTTCGAGGGTTCCGAGGAGATGGTGTGCTTTTTCCTGATCGGGAAGTAGCCAGATAGCGGTGCGGATGTTACCAACATGAACAGAGAGTCTGCTGTTCTTTGTGATGACATATTTTGGATGCAGAAATATTGATATGGGTAAGGGCAAAATCAGTTAGTACTTCCTGCGTCAAGCTCCACTCCGACAGAACAAACGCACAAGACAAGACAGCGATCTCGCTTATCGAGACGAGTCCCCCCACAACGCCACAAAAAGAAGCAGGCATCACGGAAGAGTCTCCAACTCCAAAATAACTCAATGAATGATCCCCGGAACGGGTGTTTCAGCTTGCAGACGGGAGTTATTTTTCGTTATCATCAGTATTAGACTGCGCTCAATATAATAGACAGGATAATGGCATTGTTCATTACTCAAGTTTCAACAACATACATGGAGTAGTACTACTACTGGACTTCCTCGCTACCTTGGTTTCAGCGCGAGCGATCAAGTGTTAGGTACCCAGTGCGTGGTAGCTCCCTAGGTATCCTCCTACGTCAACGCCGCGCCAGCCAATCGACTAACCAAGACAATTCCAAATACTCTTCTTCCAGGTTCGCCAGACTCGCTGATCCCCTCCAGTCCACTCAAAGCCGCCGCGCATGTACCTACCACCTACTCTTGCAGTACTTGCCGTACCCGACCTCTTCTATCTATGAGTCCTCGTCATAGTGACATTCTGACTGTTATCTTGGAACCATCCCAGATGTCTAAGACTGATTGCAGAGCGGGACAAGGCAACTGCCAAGTCAGAGATCCCCACTTGGGTGGACCGCAGAGTCAGTTAGGAATGTTGACGGAGGACCTATACCTGCACTGTTGTAATGACCCCTCAGTACACTGTATTTTTTGTCCTTTTCTCCCCGCTGACCTCCCCGCTGACCAGGGGATTGCTATAGCCATGTAGTTGCATTTGCAGAAGGGCTAGTAGCGGATGAACCGTGCCTTGTCGGGAGGACTATGGGCCAGCCATCCCACCCGTCTCCACGGAGTAATTGTATCTAGCCTCGTCTCGTCTCGTCTCGTCTCGTCTCGTCTCAGCTTGAACCGACCTGCCTTGCAGGGAGACTGAGACTACTTGCTGTTGCACATGCATCTGCAGCCCGCGGTGGCGACTGGCGACTGGCGACACTGGGGCTAGCAGCGATCAGTGGAGGAGGCTATCCATTGTGGCTGACTGAGGTGTCAACTGACGTGAAGGACTGGCCTGCGGTACATTTCCCAGGACCAGATGACTGTACACTACGGAGTAGATGGTAGAAAATAGACGATGATGCGCTATCCAAGCTCATCAATAACCATCCCTAGACATAGGCTTGATCCCTTCAGATGACCGTTGGGAATACCTAAGGAAGTATCCCTGTAAAGAAGGGTACACCCAAGCTTACAGCTTACAGCTTACAGCCAACAGACATACCATAGAACGGGTATAACAAACCTTGAAGCAAGCTTGACCCTAGCGGCCCTGCACGCGAGTCAAAACGGAAGAAAGCCAACCCACCACCCTCACTGGCCAAGTCCAGTCCCCACTAGCTACTCGCTCATCTTCTGACCCGGTCCTCCAAACCCATCCCGGCTGGAACTGGAACTGGAACTCTGGGACTGGAGTTAGGTTCTCTGTACCCCGGCCTATCAGACCGACCAAGTCCAGCAGAGTGACAAGAGGCGCGCTAATCTGCATGAAAACCATCTTTTGATCTCTGGCTCGTGGGCTCCTCCACTCGAATGATAGGATCTGGGGCGCTGGGAGGTAATTGCAGAGGTCTGCGATAGTTTCTATCTGTCGATTCTGGCCAAGGGTCTTGATTGCATGCATACTGCTCTCTTTTCTTTTTCTTCCTTTTTCATTTATTTTCTGTCTGTCTAACAAATGAAGTGAAATAGAGCTGGGTGGAATTTGTACCCAAGGGCAACTAGCAAGCGAGTAGCGAGTGCGAGCAATTTGGCCTGATTCGTGGTTGCCGTCCTCCCTCCACCATCACCCCTTGCATGGTCCTCGTGAGTCTATATGTGTGCTGTGTGGCGATTCCACCCTGACAGCCAGCCACGGTCTCGCCTTGCGGCGTTGGTGTGGATTACAGAGCAGATCTTGTTCCTGCGAGGGAATTCGGATTCGAAGGGCTGACAGAGGGACTTGGTAGATTACGGTAATAACAGTAGAATAAACATTATGGTTCATTTGTTCCTTTTGTAATCGTCAACAACAAT